AGGAAGTTATTGTTATTCATCCATTATATTCTATAGTTATTTTCGTTTCATTTATAAAGCCCATACAATGAAGCGTATATAAACTTAAGGGCAGATGAATAGATTAGTCAAATTTCAACTTGATCATGCAATTTTGAAGAATTCAGATATAATAGATGATATGTATTGGTGTATTCGCCAAAAGAACATTGTATCGTATCGATGTTCACATCGTTTTTGTGTATAAAGAGATAAGAATGAATAAGATAAAAAAACTGAAAGCTTACATTCGCTTCTTCGGATCCATGCCAAAATATACAAGACTGCTGGTAGTGTAGTGCCTTCGGAAGAATACTCGCCGGTATACATCAGTCATGGTTATGCCTTCTGAGCTAACACGAAAGTTGACCTCTGTTGGGCGAACCACGCTATTTGCCAACCTAAAGAGTGTATCTATGGCAAATTGGACCGCTGTGGGGCCCATCATGCCTTCCACGTCGATGGAGCCCAGATAGAAGAGTTGGCAGGCTAGTTTTAAATGTGAAGGTAATATGCGATAAAAAAGATGGACAAGGAGACAAGACAAATATACTATTTAAGAGCAAATATATGTTAAATGACATATGAAGAGTGTAAGGCTATATAATGCTAGGCAAGGCCCATAGCGGCTATTTCTTCTTATACATACTAATAAAAACTTAAGAATCAAAAGGTCACACAAATGTAAGCTTTAAGATAAATTTACATTAGGATTCAAACGTGTTTATTTCATCATGTATATAAAAAAAACAAATTTTTATTCATTTGGTACTTATTTTTAAGAAATACAATATTTAGAAACGACAGGCATCAAAAGTTTTTGAGCTTTGGAAAGTTTTCGAATGAAGCTACAAATTTATCAAAACATCTTGATCATAGTCAATTAAATGATGTCTTTTTAAGTGTCAGTGAAGACAAATACTTCATTCAAATGATAACACATGTGCGATGAATTTGTCCTCGCTTACTCTTGATTACGAAACCATTACGATCCTGAAGAAAGGACTGAACTTTTCCCTTCAAAATGTCAGAAACCTGCTAGAAAACATTCTGATGGAGGTCATTAATATCTCTGAAAAGTTTTCTGAGGAGACAAAACAGGAAATGGAGATGGAAATAATTCCAAGAACTTTGAGACATCATGAACGGATTTCCACGGATGAGCAGAAGCGTAGAAATGAAGAGAAAGGAGGAGAGATAGTGATAATGGAGACAAAACTCTATACCGAGAAGTTGGAATGTATACTGCGAGACAGGACCACGTATTGTGTACTAAAGAAGAGCCCAGCTATGAACATGTGACATGCTACAATATATACATAGGAAGGGGGAGAACAAT